TCCTCTTGATTCAGTTTTGGGAGCTTGTATGAGTCTAAGAATTTATCCATTTCTTCTAGATTATCCAAGTTGTTGACATATAGCTTTTCATAGTATTCTCTTATAAGCCTTTGTATTTCTGTGATGTGTGTTGTAGTTTCTCTGCTTTCATTTCTGATTTTATTTATTCAAGTCTTCTCTCTTTTTTTCTTAGTGAGTCTGACTAAGGGTTTGTCAATTTAGTTTATCTTCCCAAAGAACTGAGTCTTAGTTTCGTTGATCCTTTCTATTGGTTTTTGTTTTTTTTTTTGCCTCTATTTTATTTATTTCTGCTCTAATTTTTATTATTTCCTTTCTTCTACTGACTCATTGCTTTGTTTGTTCTTCTTTTTCTAATTCTTTTAGGTATAGTGTAAGATTGTTTATTTGAGATTTTTCTCATTTCTTGAGGTAGGCCTCTACTGCTATAAACTTCCCTCTTAGTACTGCTTGTGCTGCATCCCATAAGTTTTGGTATGTTCTGTTTTCATTTTCATTTGTCTCCAGGTATTTTTTGATTCTCCTTTGATTTCTTCATTGATTCAGTAGTTGTTCAGTAGCATGTTCTTTAGTCTCCACATATTTGTGATTTTTCCAGCTTTTTTCTTGTAGCTTATTTCTAGTTTCATACCATTGTGGTTGGAAAAGATGCTTGATATGATTTCAATCTTCTTAAATTTATTGAGGCTTGCTTTGTTTTCCAACATATGGTCTACCTTTGAGAACGTTCCATGTGAACTTCAGAAGAACATGTATTCTGCTGTTTTTGGATGGAATGTTCTCTATATGTCTATTAAGTCCATCTGGTCTAGTGTTTCATTTAAGACCACTGTTTCCTTGTTGAATTTCTGTCTGGATGATCTATCCATTGACATAAGTGGAGTGTTAAAGTCTCCTACTGTTATTGCATTGCTGTCAATTCCCTTTAGGTCTGCTAATAGTTGCTGGATATACTGTGGTGCTCCTGTGTTAGGTATGTGTATATATATATAAATAATTGTTATGTCTTCTTGGTACAATGTCCCTTTTATCATTATATTATGCCTATCTTTGTCTCTTATCTTTTTTGTCTTGAAGTCTGTTTTTCCTGATATAAGTGTGACTACACTTGCTTTCTTTTTGTTGCCATTTGCTTAGGGTATCATCTTCCATCCCTTCACTCTGATCCTATGTTTGTCCTTAGAGCTGAGATGTGTTTCCTGGAGGCAGCACATTGTTGGGTCTTTTTTTTTTAATCCATCCAGCCACTCTGTGTCTTTTGATTGAAGAATTGAATTTATTTACATTTAGAGTGATTATTGATTATATGAGAGCTTAATACTGAGATTTTATATTTTGTTTTCTGGTTGTTCTATATTTCATTGTTTCTTTTTCCTTGTATTTCTGACTGCCATTTCAGTTTGGTGGGTTTTGTATGTTTTTATCATTTTTCTCTTTATTTATGATTTGTAACTCTGCTCTGATTTTTTGTTTTGTGGTTACCATGAGGTTTGTATAAAAGGTCTCATAGATAAGATCGTCCTTTTTCTGCTGATAGCATCTTATCGTCATTTGCCTATGTAGGTTCTGTCCTTTTCCTCTTTTCTGTCTATGTTTTTGTTGTCACTAATTATTCTTTTTTGTGTTGTGAGTTTGTGACCAAATTGAAGTGGTTATAGTTATTTTTGATGCTTTCTTTCCCTTTATCTTTTCTGTTATAATTAAGTGTTTACAAACCTATTCTGATATAGAGCTGCAATTTTCTGATTCTGCCTATCTATTTATCTCCTTGCTCAGAGCTTTGTAAATCTTTGCTTTTTTATTTCAGGTAGGAGGGCCCCATTCAACATTTCTTGTAAGCCAGGTCTAGTGGTGAATAACTCTCTCAGCTTTTATTTGTCTGGGAAAGCTTTTATTTCTCCATAATATCTGAAGGATAATTTTGCTGGATGGAGTATTCTTGGCTGGTAATTTTTGTTTTTCAGTATTTTGAATATATCATTCTACTCTCTCCTAGCCTTCAGGATTTCTGCTGAGAAATCTGCTGAAAGCCTGATGGGGTTCCTTTGTAGGTTATTTTCTTCTCTCTGGCTGCCCTTAGTATTCTTTGTTTGTCATTGACTTTTGATAGTTTTAATATTACAAACCTTGAAGAAAGTTTTTTTTTTTTTTTTTTGCATTGAGGTAATTAGGAGTTCTATTAGCTTCATGTACTTGTATGTCCAGTTCCTTCTCCAGGTTTGGGAAGTTCTCAGTTATTATTTCTTTGAATAAGCTCTCTGCTCCTTTTCCCCTCTCTTCTCCTTCTGGGATACCTATTATCCTTAAGTCAGTTTTCCTAAGTGAGTCAGATATTGATCGTAGAATTTCTTCCTTTTTTTGAAGCCTTAGTTCTCTCTCCTCCTCCACCTGAATCATTTGTAGGCTTCTATCTTCAAGCTCACTAATTCTCTCTTCTATATGGTCTGCTCTATTTTTAATGCTTTCTACTTTATTTTTCATCTCATTAATTGTGTTCTTCATCTCCAGTATTTCTGGGGTTTTTTTCCTAGAGTTTCAATATCTTTGGTGAAGTATTCCTTCTGTTTATTAATTTTATTCCTGAGCTCATTGAACTGTCTTTCTGAGTTTTCTTGTAACTCACTGAGTTTCTTCATGACACTATTTTGAATTCTCTGTCAGTTAGATTGTAATCTCCTGTGACTTCAAATTTGGCTTCTGGAGGGTTGTCATTCTCTTCCTGTTCTACTGTGTTATGGTAGTTCTTCATGATACTTAATGAATTGATTCTCTGCCAGCACATTTGTGGTAGCAACCGCCTTTCTTATTTGACTATGGCTTTGGTTACTTTGGTTCTGAGCTGCTTCTGGTTGTATTTGCTTTCCATCATCCACTGCCTCTGCTAGAGTCATTGTCAGTGCCTTCTTTGTGTCACTTATGCCTCTGAGGTTGCTGGTGCCTTGCTGCTTATGATGTCGCTGCAGTCTCAAGTGTTGCCACTGGGGTCACCAGGCCATGAGCACTTCTGCTGCTTCCGGGATTGCCTGGGTCTTATGTTCCCCCACTGGCTCTCTGTGGGATCTCCACAGGCTCAAGTGCGGGTGCCCAATGTACCACCCACACTGCCACTCCTGGGTTATTTAGGGGTGCTGGCAGCACTGCTGCCAGGGGCCTTGGTTCTTGTATGAAGCCCCCACTGCTGGTAGACCCAGTGTTGGGGGTGCCACCACTGGGGGCTGAGTCACGGTTTCTGCTGTGGTTCCTGAAGCCTCAGGTCACAAGTGCCACGTGCCACCATCGGGGGAGGGACTGGAGCTAATCTGCAAGTGTTGTTGCTGGTCCTGCAGCCTCTGGGCACTGGTGCACACCAGTGTGCTTTTTGAGACCTCAGCTCAGGGCACACTGCTCCTGCAAGGGAAATCCACATTTCGGATACTGTCCCAATGCTGGAAAGACCAGGACGACTGCCAGGGGAGGAGGAGGCTGGGTCACTGGCACTGCTCTGTGTCCTGCATCCTCAGGACATGTGCACCATCCATCACCACTGTGGGGAGCCAGGGGCTAAACCACAAATGAGTGTCATTGCTGCTCATGCAGCCTCTGGTCACTGGTGCTGGCATGTGCCAGTGTACTTTGAAACCTCAATTCAGGGCACCCCACCCCTGCCGGGGAAATTCAGGTTTTGGATGCTGTCCCCACTGCTGGAAAGACCAGCACTACTCCCTGGCGGTGGGGGGCGGGGGGGGGGGGGGCGGCAGGGGCTGGCTCACTGGCTCCACTCTGTGTCCTGAATCCTCAGGGTGTGTGCACCACCCACCACTGCTGGGGGGTTGGGGGCCAGGATCTAAGCCAAGAGTGCTGTGTTTGCCCCTATAGCCTGTGGCCACCAAAATGCACGACAGTGTGAGGATCCACATTTTTGATCATCACTGCTGGGGAAGAGCCTGTTCCCCTAGTTCCACTGCCTCTGGGAGGTCCAGTCCACCCACCTTCAGATACATAGATGCATGGATCTCTCAGGCATTCTGGTAGCTGTGCAGGGACTCCTTTGTTGGTCAATGGATGTCTGAGTGGTTATAACTTACAGGGGAGAGACAAAGGGAACAACTCAGTCTGTCATCATGCTGACATCACTCTATGCCTACCCCCATTGGTTTTAAGCTCCATAGAGACCATGCTCATTTCTGTTGATCGTTGCACCCCCATGCCTGGAATGTAGCAGTCATTCAGTAAGTACTCACTGAGTGGACAAATAAACTCTGGGAGCCTCAAGGTCCCTGATTGCATGTCAATGTGAAGAGACCAGCCTCTGTCTCCCAGGCCTGCTCAATCACTTCCCAGTACTCCAGCTTCCAGAGCACTGAGTCATCAAGGCAAGTAGGACTGAAGGCAGATCCACCAGTTCATCAGTTGTGCCCAGTCTTAGTGACCCCTTGAAACTCCAGCATGACCTCCTCCATAAAGGCAAGCCCCTACTAGAAAGAGCCATGTCTCATATTTTTTAGCACATTGCACTTCCATTTTAAATGTGCCTCATAGGAACAAGTGATTACTACTGAGGAGGCTGAGGGGGCTTCTCTGGAGATATTACAAATGAGTCACTTCCCTAAGGACTAGAATCGTTCGTCTGGGTGGTCAAGGGATGAGTAAAATAGAGTAACTTCCTGGTACCTCTTTCATCTCTAATATTTTAAGATGCTTGTTGTTTGATAACTTTAGACATGCTCCCTCAATGCAGACAGCAAAGGATTCTTAGTCTTTTAACTCTCTATTTAGATCAATAAGTCACTGGCAACAGTGCAATAGAACAATCAAGAACCCGGGTAGGTTGAAAAGCCTTTTGCACAGACATGACCGTAATCCTGTTGAAATCGCCTTGCCTATGTGCTCTCAGGAGTAAGTGCTACTTTTATAAAGTGTTAAGATAGTTTAATGTCTGGCTTTTATGTTTCATCGTCTCATGGCATGAGGAATGCTGAACGCTCTAAATGTTGGACTTCTAGAAGCTTGAACCCGTTGACCTGCCACATGTAATTACTTCTGAAAGGCTCCTGAGCCAGCAAGAAGCCTGGACAGCTCACAAAGCAAAGGTGAACTGCAGTGATAGCCGAGGGGTGGGGACGGGCTGGCTCTCCCTTTCACACACCCCTGCACTGTGGACTTCCAAGACACAGCAAACTATGAAGTCAGTCAGAGTCAGAACTTTCCAAAGCTATCCATTCTCTGCTGGGCCCGCCTCCGACTGGCAACTACTCTGGCCTCTCAGATGATCTCTGGGCCCTTCTCTGCTTCCTGTGAAAACAGGCAGATGTAGGTGAAAGAGAGGAATTTTATTTGGAAATTGGTGATTCTAGAAGTGTTCAGATTTGTGAAAAATCCAGCATAACTCTCCCCTTTCATTCTTCCCCTCAGTTTGAAATTTCTTCTCATTCTCAGTTTTCAAGGAAAATCATATCTATAAGTTGTTCTTGACTTATTTACCACAACCTCACCAAACAGCAATCCTGGAAAGGGTCTTCTCTAGAGCGTTTTCCTTTTATAAACTTGTCACACTCTGCTGAGAAAACTGCCTTCATGTAGGAATCAAAACTGTGAGGTAGGAGTAGACGTTTGCCACTTTCCACTCCTGATTCATTGTGGAGCCAGCTAGATGCTGCTGCGTGGCTGGTTGGTTTGGCAAAAGATGTCCAGGTGCTTTTAGATTCTCAGGGCCATGACTGTGATGCTGACGATGCCTGTGGAGATGGGCCCCTCCCTGAGGTTCTCATCAGCCAACACTGTCATTGTCCACAGGGCAACATAAAAGATGTCACTGAACACATTTGACTGCCACATCTTCCCTTTCCTGGCCACAGCAAGTGAGGAATGAGAGTATATCCACCCTGGTTGCCCTCAATAACTGTCTGTACACTCCCACTGGAGTTTATGAGGCTCCAGGGCGAGATCACCAAAGTTACTGATAATCAACTTCAAATCCTTCCTAAACTGCAACATACCAGGGTTTGTATTGGTATGTGGGATACACGTTATAGAAATAGCTTCCATTTAACCATGCAGTGGCTCCTCTCTAATTTCGCAGGCAGATAACTAGTCAACGGCAGAAGAGGCAGGAGAGAGAGGCAGGCCTCATCAACCAGAATACATTTCTGGGGAGATAGTAATAAGCATCTGTTGACAGGGGAAGTGATATCTTGTCAAAATGAGTTGTGGAAAGATATTTCCATTCAAAGTTTGCAAAACTCTACAGGAACCTTAAAAACTACATTATATACACAGCAAAGCTCCACTTCATTCACTGATAGCTACACAAAGGACTTGTCGGGGAACTGCAATAATCCACCTTTGATATCATGAGATCTCTATGGATTATGATTAATGATTGATTAAGATCTCACTCTCTTCCAAAAAGGATTTCAAGCTATGGATTTCAGAGTCAGTAACAAATTACCCCATAGTAATGAGTGTGTCATCTTTCATAGCAGGAATCGGAAAAGAAGATGCAAACTCCAATTCATACTTCCGGGAAAAGACAATATTTACATAAGATGCAAATGCTGGAAATGAACCGTAAAAGACAAGAGGTAAATATGAACAGAGAGAAGAAGAGTGTCATATTTACCAAATTTACTTGACATAGTCACTGCCCTGGCACATGAATATGGTTAAGCATTCCTCTCCAGTCTTTACTTAGCACTTTAAATATAGTCATTGGAGCCCAAAGTTCAACTCCTGGAGCTGGGAAGAATGGGCAAGATCCCTTCTGCTACCAGCCCCGCTGAGTCTGTTCTATTTTCACTCCTCCAAGGGATGCGCCTGTGTTGCAAGGCTCCCTCTTTTTTTTAAACAAATTCCTACTATGACATTCTGGCTCCAGTAGGAAATTGGGGTCAAATAATTTTTTCTGGTTTAGTAAATGGAGGGGGGTGATTTGGTCTTTTTGATACCTCGGCATCTCTCCACAATTCATCCCATAGAATTATCTTACAAGAAAGATCTCTTGTAACAAACCCCTTTACAGTAATGTCTTCTGTGACTGTCGTATTCCAAATTCCTCACTCTAGCAAATAAGCCTAAAGTCATTGTCTTCTGCAATTCCAAATAGATCAGCTGGCCTACAGGGAAATGTTTTTACAAAGGTCTTCATCTCAATACCTTTTTGATACTGTGGGCATGCTCTCCATTCTCCTAACAAGCCTGTGCATAAAGAGAGTTTCCATATCTTCTAATGGGAAATAAAAAAAAGTGTTCTGGTTAGGGGACCACTGATGTGTGCAGATAAGCACACAACTTGCAAAGTGGCTCATCTGTTGACCTATTCTGGTGGAAGTAGCTCAGGGGGAGAACATTAACCATTTATAGCTGATCATTTTCAGGCCCAAGTGGAGTTGAAGAAAAGTCTTCACAGGGAGGCGAGAATTAATAAGCAAAATCTGAGGGACCATAAAGCCAAGAAAATCCTTCAAAGCATCCCAATAAATGATGGTGGTGAACTCCTAACCTTGTTGCCTGATGAAACCTTGAACAGAAGTCTAGGTGAGTCACGTAATTTTTTTAGCAAAATAAAATATTTGAAGTGTTTTTAAAATTTCATCAAATAAACTTCCGGTAGCAGGGGTGGATAGCAAATAGCCTGCTGACATTGTACTTCCTGGAATGTAATGATCATATTGTCACGTAATTTTGGGTGGCCAAGAGGAAAAGACAGAAGCTTAAGCACTGTAATAAGATGTGTCTTTTCAGAAGTTCACTGTCCTTTCCCTGAATTGTTGCAATCCCTGCTCCATCTTTAGGAGGAGAAAAGGCAAAGAGCCTCATCTTGTAGTTAAAGAGAATGAAGCACATGGAGATGTATTAAATGGTGATTGGGTATCAGCCAGTTTGGTGCCATTTGCAGCCACTCTCTCTCCTACCCGCCTCTTTCCCCTGCAGCCCTCTTCGGCTCCTTCAGAATGTCTAAAGCTGAATCCAGTGTCACTGCCCACCCCAGCTTGCTCCTGCTGCACGCACTGTCTCAGTCGGTGAGGTCTCCATGCTGTCCGTCACTCAGGCCGAGACCTGAGCCTTTCCACCTTTCTGCTCCCTCTCCTTGCACTTGTTTACTCACAAAGTCCCGCTGATGTCACCTAGCACTGAAACGTCCGCTCTCTCTTCCATTCCCAATGCCACCCTTAGGTCGTCATGCCACACTAGGGCTACTGCTACGGCCTCCTGACTGCGCTCCTCCCCCAGATCTTACCCTCCTTCCATTAACCCTCCACCTTGGTGGTTCTCAGTGTGGTCCACAGACAACCAGCACCAGCATCACCTGGGAGTAGTTAGGGCTCTTGCCAGAATGACTGAATCGGAAGCTGTAGGGGTGAGGCCCAGCAATCTAGGTTTAACCCCCCGCCCCAGGTGATTCTGGTGCCTCTAAAGTTTCAGAACCACTGCTCTGCTTCTGTTCAAAGTATTGTCCAAAGACCACAGCATCTGCATCACCTGGGAGCTTATTTGAAATGCAGAATCTCAGGCTCCACCCCAGACCTACTCAATCAGGATCTGCATTTTATCAGGATCCCAAAGTGATTCTCATGCACAATAAAGTTCTGGAAACACTGCACTAACAGCAGAGTAATCTTATAAAATGCAAATCTGACCATAGCACGCTTCTGCTAAAATTTTTAAAATCCTTCAGTGAGTCTCCCTCAGCTGAGGACACAGTCTGAACTGCTTACCCTGGTTCTCCAAGCTTTCAGCGTCTAGCCACTGCCGCCCTTCCTGGCTTCATCTCCTGCCACTCTTGCGCCCAACCCCCACACTCCAGCAAGGCCAGATTGCTCAGCGACCTCAGATTGCTCTGTGATTTCCAACAGAAATCAGTGTTCATAACCTCTGTGCTGTGTTGCCTCACCAGTTAGCATCCCATTAAGCTTCCCCTCTGTGTATTCCGCAGGGCAAGCTCGCAGTTGCAGATGTACAGCATTGTTCCGTCACGCAGATTACTGTGCTGTGGGCCAAATCCCCACAGCAGCAAGACTGACCACTGAGCGAGAGGGCTACAGAGATGTTGCCTGTGCCCCTGGAGGTCTCGAGCTTCTAGGATGCAAAATTGCCAGTTGAAAGAGACGCTGCTTCTGCTCAGAGGAACAAGATGCTTAATCAATAAGTTAGTTAAATAAGAAAAGGCTGAATAATTGAAAATCTACCTGGGGCATCTATTTAACCTATACTCCCAAGTCCAAGAATGAAATATGTGCTGTCGTCACATAGACAAGCAACTTTTGCAATTTAAAAAATACTGGCAAAACAACCAAGAAAGGTGTCTCAGCTAAAGGTAGACACTTAGAGTCATCACTTGAAGGCAGGCCAAGAAAAATCAATGTTGGTGAAGCTTTTAGAAGACACGCAGGTCTGGGGGAGGGCGAGGAGAGCCTGTGGCACATGGGGAAGGTCGTTTCCTCTGCTCTCCTGATGCTTTTTAAAGCTGCTTCATTTCGTTCCAGCTACAGTTTACCAAGTGCTCACTGTGAGCCAGGCCCTGTGGTCCACCCTAACAGGCATTATGGTGTGCAATCCTCACACTGCCTGGAAGGCAGGAGTTACTATGAGCCCCCATGTGACAGAGCCAGGATTCACGGCCAGCTCCTTCTGACTCCAAAGTGTGCACTCCCTCCCACCCCCTCTTATGGCCTCATCAGTACTCCAGGGACTCGCAGCTCTGTCCAGGACAACAGGGGAAGTGTCTGCAGATGTACAGGTCCTGAGTCCTCAACCTTATCTTGCAAGAGAAGGCTGCCCTCTGCAAAGCCTACCGACCTCACCCCTACACCAGGCATGTCCTCGAGCAGTGGTTCCTTCCTGCTTATTCCCAGAGAGCATCTTTGATTTCTCCCTCTGTCTCCTCAAAGCAGTTTACTTTGCTTTCTCCTAAAAGGGGAGCATAGCCAAGATCATAGACTTACATGAGTGTTCTGCTAGTCGGGTGCTGTTAATTAAGGCTCCTCTGTCCCCGTCTCCACTCATTTAATGCTGTATTTGCCCCTTCTTGTTTCCTCTTTTGGAAGGTGGGATGAGAGTTTAGGCCTCCTGTGAGATAAAGTTGGTCTTTGTCTTCTGCTGCCTCTTTAAAATGAAATCAGCCTCGCTTTACATAGCGTTTGCATACTTCTATATAATTAATTACATATAACATATAGTGACATATAACTTACACAGGTGAACATAACTCTTTTGGGTGTACAGTGCTATGAGTGTAAACATATTTATGTGGCTCCTGCCCTTTCCAGAAGCCATGATATGAGTATAGAGGGTAGAAAAAGCACTCGCCTGGCAATCAAAGTCCTCATTTGAGCCCCAACAGTCCACTTACTAAATTGAAGCTCCCTGGGGGCAGGGACCTCTGCTTGTCCTAGAACAGTGCCTGGTTCAGAGCAGCCTCTCAATAAATATTAACTATTTATTTGTCTACATAGCTTTATTCTATATAGAGAGTATAGCTAAATTCCAGTTATTTAACCTCTGTGAGCCTCAGTTTCCACATCTGTAAAATGAGTATAAACCATCGTCTACCATGTAGGTTTTATGCAAAAATTATTCTAATATGTATAAAGGCACATATGAAATGTAAATTGCCGTCTAACTGCATGGGAATATGGACAAAACTGAAGGAAGATGGAACTGATGTCTTACAGTGAAAATAACTCCATGCTTCGGGGAAAAGCCACCCTAAACACATCATTTGAATGTCATCTTCACAATTCCGGTCTTATCTGGCCACCTGTACCATTATTTACTTAGTATTTTTCTTCAAGATATCTTGTTTTGTTTTTAAAATTTAGCCTTGGGGGCCGGCCCTGGCCGAGTGGTTAAGTTCGCCCACTCTGCTTCGGCAGCCTAGGGTTTCGCCAGTTTGAATCCTGGGCACAGACATGGCACCGCTCATCAGGCCATGCTGAGGAGGCATTCCACATGCCACAACTAGAAGGACCCACAACTAAAAATACACAGCTATGTACTGGGGGGCTTTGGAGAGAAAAAGGAAAAATAAAATCTTTAAAAGAAAAAATTTAGCCTTGTCTGTGAAATAATCATGAAATTATGAGTTTGATATAGTGGCAGCACATTTTTCTAAAACACGTTATGAAATGCACAAACGTGAAACATTTTCACTGTTTTCCATGATCCTTGTACTACCTAAGATCACTCCTGCTTTCCCCACTGACCTCTGTTGCTTCTCTCTTCCTCCAAAGTAATTTTGAAGTAGGATTCACTTTCCTCTATTCTGCTCACCTAAAACCCATCTAGGTTTTTAAAGGCTATGTTTTTATTTTTAGTTTTTTCTTAAGTCTAGCAACTACAGAGAAAAACAGATTTATAAAAATGTAACACATAATAAGACGTCACTAGCTCAGAAGTTCTCAAATGTCAGTGCTTTGTCTACAAAACTTTATATACAGGACTTCACAGGTGATCTAAGGATTTTCAAGGATGAAACTAAACGTGAATTTTGCCTTACACTCTAACTTTAGATCTGAATTATCTTAATACTAAGAGAGTTGTGGGACTTAAGCTATTGCTAATATTACCCTAGATCCCACTGTTAACAAACGTTCTCTTCCGGTTTCAAAGCTCCTGCCTCTGGCCGGCAGGAAATTCCTGTTCCCAGTCTGAGCGATGCCTCCAGTAGTTCTGGGCTCATTTGTAGGGCAGAGATGATTGTCACCATCTGGCCCCAAGGAATGAAGACTTTCCCAGGTCCTAGTTAACAATACTTCCCGCCTCCCAAAGTTCTCTGATGGCTTACCTTTCATTCATTTATTCATTTACTCATTCAACAGATACTTACTGAGCAAGGTAGATGTGGTTCCTGGCTTTGGAGCTTATACAACTGTACAGACAATAAATGGGAAGTCAAATGAGAGTATAACTGGGAGACCTAATAACCTGAGGAGTTGGAAGTTTCCATGAGGAAGTGATGTTTAAGCTGAGACAGGAAGTAGCTGGACCAGGGGGGCAGGAATGCATGTGAGTGTGAGGACCAGAGCACTGGAACATTCAACTGCAATTGATAACAGCACGTGCAAAAGCCCTCAGGTGGGAAGGAGGCTGACGGATGCTAGACACTGGTGGAGAAGAGAGATCCAGATAGAGAATGACAGGTGGTGGCTCTGCAGGCATAGGCAGAGCCCAGAGCACACAGGGTCTTCTAATCATGTCAAATTAGGACTTTGAACTCTATCTTAAGATCACTGGGAAGCCATTGAAAGGGCAGGGGAGCAACACAATCAGGTTTATATTCTAAACATCACTCTGTCTACACTGTGGAGAATGGATAGGATAGGAGTGCAAGAGGATGTGCGGAGCCAGGGTAGAAGGACAGAGCAGCAGCACAAGTGAGAGACGGTGCTTGGACCAGGAGAGTAGGGTGACAATGGGATGGAGACAAAGAGCCAGATACGAGATATTTACAAGGTAGGATTGGCAGAACTTGGTGATGGAGTAGACGTGGGTTTGTGGAGGAAGCGAGAAGGCCGGGAGGGTCCTTGGGTTTCTCTTGAAGGACGAGGCCGATGACAGGGCAAAGGTAGGACCATTTGCTGGATTAGAGGAAAAGAGGAAAGGTGGGTTTGTGAGAGAAAGAAAGGGTGAGTCCGATGTATTGCCAGGAAACGTCAAAGTGGAGGTGACCAGTTGTACAAAAAAGTTTACTACAGCTCAGGAGAGAGATTAGGGCTGCAGACATAAATTTGCTATAGTTTTCTGTCAGTGCTGTGTAAGTAGACAATGATAGTAATTATAATAATACTCAAGGGAGAGGAGGGCAGCCCCTCACGAAGGCGGAAAGGAAACTAGTGAATCACAAGGGGGAATCCTCACATTGAAATGCTTGATTTTCTTCCACAACAGTATGCAACTTTAGATAGCAAAGGCTTAAATAAAATCTGCCATAAGATTTAATAAACAGGAGCCAGCCCCAGGACCAAGGGGTTAAGTTGCAAGCTCTGCTTTGGCAGCCTGGGGATCACCGATTTGTATCCTACGAACCACTCATCAAGCCATGCTGTGGCGGCATCCCACATAGAAGAACTGGAATGACTTGCATCTAGGATATACAGCTATGTTCTGGGGCTTTGGGGAGGAAAAAAAGTAAAAGGAAAGAAAGAGGAAGATTGGGAACAAATGTTAGCTGAGGACCAATCTTCCTTGCAAAAAAAAAAAAAAGATTCAATAAACAGTGTCATTAAGATGACATCCAGAAAGTTATGGCTGGTCCAGCCAGGCTGAAGGGAGACTCTGAGCCTTGACTCAGGATGGTTTCCCCAGCTCAGGAGTGGTCGTTAAGATTTTGTTTTCTTAAAAGCGGCCTTCCTTGAATGAAGCGCCCTTTGTTCTGAAGTGCGTTCTAAAAGAGCAGTGAGGACTGCTCAAACAAAAAGCTAAAGCGAATGCAGACAGACATAAAATTCCACACCAAAAAGTAAATTAAACAAATAAATTAAATCTCTTCTAAAAAGAAAATAGGAAGTAAAATAAAACGCCTGACCCTTTGAACTCCCCGGCTCTGCAGGTCTGGGTGCAGCCCAGTCAGCTGTGTTTCTAAGAGGCTCCCTTGGTGATTCTGCTAAGAAATCAGAGTTGATGTGAAGGTTAGAAAGTCTATACATCATGCGCCTAGCACGCAGTAGGTGTTCAGTAAATCACACTCGGTGACATCGCCTGTGCAATATTCTCACCAAAAATGCTTAACCTTGATTTAATCACAAGGAAACAGACAAGCCCAAATTTAGGGTCATTCTGCAAAACTATTGACTTGATTATTTAAAATAGTGTTAGGAAAAAAGAAGATAATGAAGGTGGAAGAGGAGATGTTCTTAAATAAATACCTCATTGTCAGGGAAAAAAATTAAGTGAATTTTTAATTTTTTGTAGGAAATTCACAGAATGCAGAACTTTTGGAACATCAAGCAAGGAATGACTGTTGTCCCCGGAAAATTGGCAAAATGGAAACATGGCTCCGTGAACAAGAGGCCCGGGGACAGCTGCTCGGGGACAGCTCCAGCTCTGACTCAGACGAGGTGGGGAAAGTTGAGAAGAAACCGAGAGCGCTGGTGAGGACCAGGACAGAGAGAATCCCACTTTTTGATGAGTTTTTCGATCGAGAATAAGAATGCTGTTCACTCACCGAGACACTGAGCGCATGGCAAGCTTGCTTTCCTGTGAAAATTCTCCAAGTTAGTATATGAATTGTTCTGAGGAAACCAGTTCACTTTCTTTTCATTTGGAGTCTTACAATTTACAGATGTGACATATATTGTTAATTATGCTGCATAACTGCCTCAAAACTTAGGGGCTTAAATAACAGCCACTTATTGTCCCCCTTTTCTGTGGGTTGCTGGGCTCAGGTGGGTGGTTCTTTGCTGGGGTCTTGAAGTCTTTCATGTAGATGAAGTCCAATGGCAGCTAGGGCTGGAGTCATCTGGAAACTCAAGGACACTGAGACAGCTGGAACTTGCCCTTCTCCATATGGTCTCAGAGCCCCTTCACATGGTTTCCCCAAGTGCTATCTCCAGCAGGGGAGTGAGTTTTCTTTTATATCAGCCCAGGGCTCCCAAAAGCAAACATTCCAAGAAGAGAGAGTAGAAGCCACCCTCCCCTTAAAGGCTAGTCAAGGAAGGGGTTCCGCGTCATTCCCACCACGTTCTATTGGTCAGAGCAAGCCACAGGCCAGATAGCAGTCAGTGAAAACAGCGTGAATTCCAAAGCATGGTCCACTGGTGCCCATCTTGGAGACTTGCCACCCCAAAAAAAAAGCAAATTAGATCTTATAAAACTAATAGATGAGAGAGTAGATTTGATACAAATAAAAATGAGTTTTTAAAGAAAAGTCACAGTAATGCCATATCAGAGACTAAGCTCACACAGGTCACTTTCTTGGGAGTCAGCAGCTTATCACCTCATAGCAGGTGACAGGAAAAGAGGTGGAACAATGGCAGGTGTGAAATAATGGTTGTTGTGAATTAAAGCTCAAAATTAAATGATCTCTTAGATTATGAGGTAGATCTTAGGTCTTTTCAAAACTAAAAGGAACTTTATGCTCAATCCAAAAGTTACTCCATTTACAAAAATCAGATTTTTAGGCAATTTTAAGAGCTTTTGTGTAAAATTAGGCTGTACTTTTAGCATAATCTAAAAACACTTAAGCCATCCAGAAGCTTCTAAGGATTTAGTGAAACTTTAAAACAAAGCCAAACAAAAATGCCCTTTTAACCTTTCTCTAGGAAATTCCAAAAAAGAAAAAAATAGCGCGCCCCCACCCTGAATTTGACATTCTGTGCATTCAGATCAGTCACTAAGAAGACAGAAGGACAGCTGTGTCAAAGGATGGACATGCGCGTTTCTCCCACGAATGGAAGGCCATTAAGTTACCGGGGGTACTTCTACTCCCAGTTCTTTGTGAGAAGTATTCTTACTTTTCATGTGGTAGGCCAAAAGCATATTTCCTGCAAAGGAACACAGAAATTGTTTGACCAGTCAGCCTTCCTGAAAAAATAAGATCCTTGAGAGGAGAAATGAGTCTGACCTATTCATAATGTCCTCACATATTATGGTTTATCCAGAAGGTTCAAACCAAAGTAGACAGTCGGCTCCCAATGCTGAAGACAGCAGGGTCTAAGCAAGTCTTCATCACTCTGGAGTATGGCTTGAAATTGGACGACGCCTCATTCCAGACGCTAAGGGGCCTGTGAGCTACATGAGGGCACGGACTACGTCTCCTCCCTGTGGTATCCCTGCTTCCTGGCACTACATCTGGCCCAGAGTTTACTATTAAATATTTGTTGAATTCATTAATTTATGCGTTGAGTGAACTAGCGAATTAGAGGGCGCGTGTTTCTCTCCAGCCGTGCAGCTGCTCGCTCTCATTTCCATCATCTCCCAAATCTTAGATGTACGAGGTTGATTATACAGTAAAGAAAGGCAAGTTTTTTCAAAAGTTCTTAGAATTTATCCATCTAATTGGATGGCATAAATTAGACATTGCCTTGGGATGCATGAGCTAGACACACCTGTATGCCAATGAGTACACCATAGCTCAAAATACTTTTTGAAACTCTATCAGTGTGTCAGCCGCAAAAGAAAATCTATCACAATGACTTCTCTGTTTGAGTTTATTTGCCTACTCCATATGGAACTCTCCCTCACTCAAGTATAAATTCAAGATTGTGAAGTAATATTAACAATAATGGAGACAGCAATAACCGCTAATGTGCATAGACTACTTATTGTGTATCAGGCACGCTTCAAATGCTTTACATAGTTAATCCTCACAACAACTTTGTGGGTCAGTATTAATACCACCCCATTTTACAGATAAGAAAACTCAGGCACAGAGAGGTTAAATAACTTGCCAGAGTTCCTTAGCCGCCCTTTGGAGCAGACCGCTGCTTACCAGGGGCCGCTTCCCTCCTCTCCCTAATTTCACCTCCACCCCCCCAGCTGTGTTATGTGGCATTCCACAGTTTTTTCCTATTATGTGGTGGATTTCTTGTTGTTCTTATTGTTTTTGTTTTCATTTTTTGGTTTTTTGGAGAGAGAATGCTACACCGCAAAGGGCGAGAGCTTTGTGGGGTTATTTTTTTTTTTTAAAGATTTTATTTTTTTCCTTTTTCTCTCCAAAGCCCCCCGGTACATAGTCGTATATTCTTCGTTGTGGGTCCTTCTGGTTGTGGCATGTGGGACGCTGCCTCAGCGTGGTCTGATGAGCAGTGCCATGTCCGCGCCCAGGATTTGAACCAATGAAACACTGGGCCGCCTGCAGCGGAGCGCGCGAACTTAACCACTCGGCCACGGGGCCAGCCCCAGTGGGGTTATTTTTTAACAAGGAAGAATTTCCTTGGAGCCTGATAACTTAGCTATGGGCACAGGGGAGATAAGAACACCTGCGAAATGTCAGGAGGGGATGTTTCCCAGGAATGGGGAGAGGGGTAGGGAAAGGCAGGTAAGAGAGGACAGACAGACTCAACCATCTTCACAGTGCTGCCTGGGAGCAGGGTCGGTGAGCAGTCCCCGCCGCCCCATCCGGGATGGACCTCAGCTGCACCTGCGCCTGGGGCTGGGGGTGTGGGTCTCAAGGCTGGCCACCGTTTGCAATCAATCACCTGGCAGATGATCAAAAACTAGTAACAGTTAGGACTTACGGGGTCCACCTTTGATGCAGCTGGGTCGCGGTAGAGTCCTGGCACCGGGCTGGTGTTTTCTCCTTAAGTTCCAGGTGAATCTAACGCGCAGCTAAGGGTGAGACCACCTCTTCAGCAGTGTGAACTCTACCGGATAGATAGATCAACCGCTCTCTTTGAAAGCAGCAACTTTGGGGGTAATTTTTCAAAGGTAAGAACATGAGGCCTGGAGCACCACAAACAGAAAGAGAATGTTCGTTTTGCTGGTAAATGTCTGAGAACACCCATCCTTGAGTTAATCTTGACTCTGTTGGGGGAACGTGAAGCCATCAGTAAACACAGCAGGTGCTGGTGAGAACTACAAAATTCAGCCTGCAGGCAAAGTTGTCAATTTTCTTCAACTGAAAATCTCCTCGGCTTTGGAAAGAAAAAAGCTTGTTTCTGGCCAAATGCATGCTTTCTCTTGTGAAAATAATATTTTCCTTCTTGCTCCGAATTTTTCATGAGAAAGAGAAATGTCTTTTGTGGGGGGCATATCTTTTGGGCATGCTTTTCTCAGGCAGAGTCATTCTTCCTCTTCTATCTAGCTTGATAACTGTGAGTTACTTTACCAGGATTTAACTAAAGACGACTCTTGCAGGAGTCATCTGTGAAATAGTCTTGTAAACAAATAGACAATGTTTTCTGCTTACACAGAGTCTGTAAAAACAAAACAAAACATCAGCTCTTCACGCCGCTCCCTTTCTTACCAGGAAAGCATATGGTCACCAAATCTAATTAATACCAACTATTTCCTACCTTGAACAAACAGCAAAAGTCTGTTTCCACATTTTACTGCAAAACCTCACTGGTTTAGAATACTGTAGAGGGGGTTGGGAGAAAGTGCACTGAGGGGTAGATTAGGGAAGGTCACACCATTAAAAACCCGAATTGCATCTCATTTTTAAAGAAATGCTATTTTATTCAAGTACAGAGTAAAGAAAATTGAAAACAAGGTCAACAGTTAAGGTTTGCTTTTAAATATATACTTCACGATAAGTCTGCCACTCACTCATTCATTCATTCAATCAAGCATTCAACAGACAGGTTCTGAGTATTTACTACTACATGCCAAGCGCTGTTCCAGGTGTGAAAATACAGCCATAATAAGACAAAGTCCCCACAGCCATGGTTACATGCCGGTGGGGAGACCATGAGCAAACGGTTGAATAAGTGATACGATTTCAGGTACTATCAGGCATGACGAAGAGAAATAAAGCAGGCAAGATGACAGGCAGGGAGGGACTGCACTGTTTCAGGCAGGATGCTCATGGAAGGACTCTGTATGAAGGAAGCGTGTGAGCCGTGAGAGGAGCTGTGAGCGGAGCTGTGAAAAAAGTTTTCCAGACATTGGAAGAGCAAGTACGAAGGCTCTGAGGTGAGATGAGCTCGTCATACTCTAGGGCCAACCAGCAGACCAGAACGGCAGAGTGAGCACGGGGAGACCGACGGGGCTGACATCAGAGAGGCTGGCAGGACCTGGATGGGGAGGAGCCCAGATGACCCCAGCAAGACGACGGGTCCCAAGCGTAACAGAATTTCACAGACAGAGGGGCTGGTCCTAGTTCAGACTCCAATATGATCATGAACAGAGGCGCATGGCGATAGATGGTGGACCTGGGGCTGACCCTTGACCCAGCTGAGCCAGGCAGAGAGGACTGCCGTCTCTGCTGGCGGCAGGAACCGCAGCAAGCGAGTTCAGGAGCAGCGATGGGTAGTAGTGTTCTGTCCTGTGGGCCGGAGATGCAAGAGCACTGACCTGCAGTAAACAGAGAAGAAGAGAGAAGGGACCCTGTGAGGCCCTGCAACACATCTGTTCTTCATTCCCAGCCCTTCTAAGACCCTCCTGCCCTTCGTTCTGAGACTGTATCCTTATAAATTCCACCTTCTGCTTGGGCCAGCACCAGCTGATTTCTGTTTCTTAAAACCAAAGAATCTCAGCTAGTCGCTGTCTTAAGTAACACCCCCTCCTGGCTTTAGGGTATAACGGTACAGTGCTGGAATTGATGGGAGCGGCCAGTTCCCGAATTACGAGGGTCTCTTCCCCAATCTATATCTAGTGACACCATGTCAGTCATGATGGGGGTATTTACACAATAAAAATTGGCAAATGTTACAAATCAGGGCCTTTTTCTCAGAAAATTGGACGTTAAACATTTACCAGCACACCTGTCTGGAGGTAAGACCAACAGGCTGTAGTGTCACGGTTCACATCCTGGCTCTGCCGCTTCCTGTCTTAGTAAGTTATCGAACCTCTTGGCCGCAGCTTCCTTATTGTAAAATGGAGATGTTGACGGTGGCTGCCTCACAGTGTTGTGGTGACAGTGAAATAAGATCACACGTGTAGAGTGCTTAGCACGGTGCCTGACATGTAGAGCCTGCTCAGTACATGGTCGTTAACTAGCAGTGATATTCCCATTGAAATTAGGAATAAAATAAGAAATTTTTGTGGCTCTAGAAGTCTGGTTTGTTCAACAAGACGTAGAACAAAGCCAGAAGTATGTAGCTATAGAACTGTGAAAACGAGTTTACCATGAGGCACAGGTGATGTGATTACGTGCCTAGACCACCGAAAGGAATCAACCGAAAAACTTCTAGAATTAATAATCGAATTAAATAGGTATCTGGATAAAATAGATACATTTTTAAATCAACAGCTTTTGCAAACCATTTCTTGGAATTTTTCCAACAAAAATAAACACAGACGTGTGCAAAGACAAATGTTCAAGGATAAAGAGTGGGTTCACTAATCTTGAGAGGAATGTTTCAGGGCGCACTTGTTGGAATGTCCTTTCTTTCTCTGTAACTCTAGCTCTCAAGCTTCCATTTTCATTACTGGTTGAAACTGTCCTCTTGCCAGTTCAAGGTACTTTAGTGGCTTCTGGCTTAAAATGCAAACTCTTAAGATTCTCCCTCCCTCTCTTTTTCTCTCCCCAGCAAGAGTCCGTGTTTGGGGGAAGTACAGGCCTTGCTTATGGCCCTGTCTTTATGGGGCGTGGGCAATACCTCATCAGTGCTGTCCTTTGTCCTCTCTGGCCACAACCGAAAGATATTGATCTTGATCACCTTGGGCGTTGACTCCCTCTTCTTAACATGCACCCCAGCCTCCCTGGCTGATGTTACTTCCGCCATATTCTCGGCACTGGCTTTGTACAATGATTGCTTGTGAGGAAGCTCAGTGGTTTTCTTCTGCTGACTTGGGCCCCACCTCAGCTTGGAGGGTGCTATTTAGCCTCCCAGAATCAACTATATCTTCTATGCAGTCCCTGGCGTAGGCTCTCCATCTCACACACTGCGTGAAGGAGTCCCCTTGGGTCTCAGTTCTCAGCTCCCTGCTTGGAAGCCTTGGAAACTTTGCAGATATTCTCTCCATGACCTGCAGGAGTCAAGGCTTGGGGGTGCAGCTATCTCAGGCCCGCTCTACCGAAACACGTCTTGTTGCCATTGTTATTCAGCTACAGCCCCCAGATGTTGCTACAAGGCAGGTTGCAAGCCATCCTCTGCTGGAGTAGCAGACAGGCAAAGGCAATAGACCCTGAAGCTCATCAAGCTTAAGCTTCTGGGCCTGTCACTCACAGTCCCCTGCCCTAGGAGGGGCCCTGGCAATTCATTTACATGAGTCTCCATATTGCT